GGATCGTCAACGGAGAGTAAATTCGACGCAAGCAATCGAAGGAGACACTCCATCGCTACCGAGAAGAACCCAATTTTTAAACAAAGGGGAGAATCAAATTCATTCTCCTCTGTTTTGTAATCGAATTGTAATCGAGATCGATGGAATACAAGTTAATTTTCTTTCAATTCTTTTATTACAAATTTTCCACAAACACTGTCATGTACCCTCCACTATGCATAAACACATTTCACTGTCACAATTACTATCCCTCTAGCAGAAACTAAGTATAAAATAGAGAGGATACAAGCAAATACAATAAAGATGAAAACATACGAAATACAATGTAGATAAAATACATCCAATAGTATCAATATGTTCCACAGGAGAAAAGAGAGTATATCTTATAAACTAAAATAAGAGTAAGAAGTCTCTAAAACAAAAAGAGTCAATAGAATAATAACAAGGCACTCAACCTCCAAATGAAATATATTTCTAAAATAAAAACTAAAAATCATAAAATAAATTCATCGTGGAGCACCAACTAACTACCTATAAAAAAAGAAAATCTATAATCAGTCCCCATCAACATGCGGCTCTCCGAACCCCTGACTTGCTGCCTGAAAAAATACAAATAATGAGCATCAAATCGCTAGTAAGAACATCTTCACCGCCCCTCAGGGGGAAGGGTTTAGGTGTATATATAAAAATAGACTAATCATAACATATATAAATATATCAATCATATATCCTGAACTAAGAGTAGTTAAGATTTAGAAACAACACGAGTGAGAACATTGAGCGAAATAATCGAAACAAGAAAACACTCGTATATATACCATGTATCTCAAATTGTGGATCGTTAAATATCCACTCCAAATCCTATAAATAATTAATAAACAAAGAAAAATACACCATTAACATCTCATCAAAAAACAAGTCATATATGTCGTATCGTAGTATCACACTCTACCATAGGGTAAGTGGCATAGAAACAAAAGTACAATCCTATGAAAACCTCGTCAAAGTATACACTGCCACATAAGAATGTCAAGTGTTGGACTACGTTCACAATAGTACTCGTCTGAGTTCTAGGCTTCCTAAATATGTAGAGTGTAGTCGTCCGCATTATCACGCGGCTTACGTACTAACACACTCGGAGTGCAGTCACCAGCTATATCGTACAGTACACAGACATGCGCACTCAAACCACCGAAAAAGAATAATGCATCACGAGGTGTAGTCGCCCGCGTTCTCATTGCGGTGCACGAACTAACGCACTTAGAGTGTAGTCGCTCGCATTCTCATTGCGGTGCATGGACTAACACACTCAAGCATCCACAACTACAGTAAATCAAAATGATCGTCACTCCCTATCATGATAACACAAAAATATTAGACCACGCACTACCAAAAGCTCGCGCATGCTCAAACCCAATATGTGCAATCTTATAATCACACACGTGTATCAAACTGTGACTCATACTTTGTGTTGACAATCAAACGCGCGTGGAAGATCAACATTTACAATACAGCACTAAGTTAGTCGACCGATATCTTATTGGTCGACCGGGCGACGACATGCACAAAACATGCACAAACATCCAGCCCTGATCAGTTGATCGAACATGTGATGGTCGGCCGACCAAAGAAAAAAAATCCTAGTTCTTGCTGACTAATCGGTCGACTAATTATTTTGATCAGTAGACCGATCGGAGAGAAATTTCCAGCTCCTGAGAAAAATTATTTTCGGTCGGCTGATCCTTCTGATCAGTCAACCAACCAGGTGACAGATCAAAAATGTTAGATTTCCACTAAAAATCACCAAAGTCAAAATTTTTCAAAGAACTCATATATACAATCTTGATTTAATGTAATTAGGGTTTACTCTAATATATGAAACAACAAATATAAATTTGAGGGGATCTAATAACCCTAACATGATTATATTTATAAATTCATCATGAAAACAATTAAAATAGCAAAAGTCTCATGTTTGATGTACTCCAAATCTTCAACCCTAACTAAAGAATTTGTTTCATAACTTTTAAATCAGAAAAAATAATCTTTTATGTCATAAAGTTTAAGGGGGTGCTCTCTACACATATAATAGGTCTTAAAATATAATAAAAACCAAGAAAAATTGGGATGAGTTTGGAGGAGATGAAACTCACCTTTTGAAAATGTTTTGATCTGTCACACATGGAAGAAAAGCTTAATAATTCTTCACAAAAGCCGTAAATCTCGTCCTCCTCTCGAACCCTGCTTCACGAATCTTCTCCCAAAGCAAGATAAAAATTTCTAGGGTTTTGGGGGGGGAGGGGAGTGGCAGCTACTCAGAACGTGAGGGATGAAGAAGAAAAGAGGATAAAGTCGGGTATACACGCATATATATATGTACAAAACAGACCTGACCCGAAACTAAACAAAAACCATCAGTTGTTGATCAGTCGACCAATCAACACACTAAAGCAGACTCGGAACGTGAGGGATGAAGAAGAAAAGAGGATAAAGTCGGGTATACACGCATATATATATGTACAAAACAGACCTGACCCGAAACTAAACAAAAACCATCAGTTGTTGATCAGTCGACCAATCAACACACTAAAGCAGACTCG